TAGCTCACCTGGGTCATTTTGGATCACTCTGCAGCTATGCCGTCATGCTGTGAAAACAGAGTCATGCTTGATGGATTCGGAGAATGAGATCGTAACTAGCCGTAGGTGGGATGCAAAATTCTAGGTGCACCATTGATTCTTAGTATGGTAGGCATTTAATGAGTGCTTAAATCGCGATTAATTGGAAGTTTCCTTTTTCATTAGTGCTTTACTTTGCCATATCTTTCAAAAGAGAATGTGTGGATGGGTATCGTTAGTCTTGATTGCCGCGAATTGTCCAAGTGTTTATTTCAACATCTCGTTTGCTTGTTACTTTCAGATAAAATTGATGACTCAAATTCTGTCATTGAGGAGAACGACGAGCTCGTCACCATTATGCCTCCGGTGGCGCATTTCGGTCCAGCTCCTATTAGTGTACGTCTGCTGAGTCGGCATCTTCGTGTCGGCCAGACAATATTAATTAATCAACAACAATCGGTGGCTAGTGGACCCCAGCTGGGCACACCGATTGGCTTAGACGCCTTAGCTGAGTTGGCGGGTGAAGAGGAGCAGAGGAAAGTGGCGACCAGTGGCCATGGCAAAAAGACGACCTACGAAACCATCATCAGCAGCAATAATAACAAAAGCAATATGAGTCAGGCAGGTCTAAGTAGTTTTAATCAAATTCCATCCGAGCCGGATGCAGATGTAGTGGAAGTTATCTCGGTTCGATCTGGTCTTGATAATCAGCTCTGCCCGTTGCCAGGTGCCGCCGGCAACGCAGCACCGGGCAAATTCTCCAAGCAATCATCGACTGGTGCTTCTCAAAATAATTTCGACTTGCATTCTGTATTCTCTGACAGAGAGACTGTTCCGACATCCGGGCATCTGTCTCGCAGGCCTTCCTTGCCGGCGTGGCGACTGCCGTCACCACAACTACAATATGATTCTCCTTCGGGTGGAGAGCATCAGCCTCTTTCTGACTGTTTGCTCCTCCACATCCATGGTGGTGGCTTTATTGCACTCAACTCTGAGGCCCATGACGTAAGTGAATCGCTCTTTTTAAGTGCATTCACGGTAGACAAATCCTGCACAAACTGTTGAAATAGTAGGTCACAGTCTATATCTATGGGTGATTTTACCCCTTTTTTGCAACTTACGTTGTCAGTGCGACCTAGTTGAAGTACCTGGTCCGAAGTCCTCTGCTATATTATTCATTAAAATTCTCAGCGTTGGACCGTGGAATTGGTATATTCTCAGAAGTTTCGTTGGCAGCGTTAGTGAGTCTTGCCATTCTCCTACAACTCGTCGAAGAGACAAATGAAATCAATTCCTTCAACTAATTTCAGTTAAACGGTTGTGTTATCACTTTCTCTCCTGGCCCATTACTCATTCCCGCACCATCACAACTTAACTATTTATTTTCGACTTCTCTGTAAGTGTGCCTTTTGGTTTTGTGTGGCGTCATCACCTGATATTTTTTTTGCTCCTCCCTTCCTCTCGATTTGCTGATCCGGCTTAGACCCCTTATCCGAATCTTCCTCATGGCCTGTCGATCCGTTTCTTATCTTTCTAGTTAACTTATTTCTTTCGGTTCCAGTTCAAGTGTGCGTTTCACCTTAGGCGCTATTTCTTAATCCTTTAGTTACACGTACACTGTTGCCTCATCGAGCAGGACGCTTAGAGTCTTATTTCAATGTTTTCGGATATCATGCATGTATCCACGACTCATCTCCTCTATTCAACCCGTCTGCCCTCAACAAACTTGGAACGTCCTGTGTATCTCTAGTCACTAATAGAAACTGGGTTTCGATGAATCTCCTTAGATGGCATTGTTGGGGACGCTTTCATTTCGTATGAAAGTGCATGAAGCAGAGATTCGTAGGTCGATCTCACCAGAAGAGGACCGATGAATCCCGTTGTACTGCAGCCGTTTGGCATTTATACCACGTTCACGTTGACGCAGTCCACGAGACCTCCCCTCGTTTCGGGCCTAAACCGGCTGAGCTTTTGTCCATTATATGATCGACATCATCAGAGCTGGGTCTCATTCCTGTAACATGAGACTTTTGCAGGAATGAGACTCAGCTCTGATGATGTCCATCATTTAATGGACGAAAGCTCAGCCGGTTTACACCCGAAACGAGGGAGGTCTTGTGGACTGCGTCAACCTGAACGTCATCTTAAAGCCAAACTGCTGCAGTACAACAGGATTCAACCGTCCTTTTCTGGTGAGATCAAGCCACGAATCTCTTCTTCATGCACTTTCATACGAAATGAAAGTCCCCCCAACAATATCTAGTCACATTGGCCGAATGCCGAATTTCTGTCACGGTTGTGATTATCCGTCTCCCTAGTCCTGTTACTGCCAGCCCTCCGAACTTTTAGCTATTTATTAGGCTCAGCAACATCCTGGTATCCATATCTACATTCTTAAACGTTCTGCTTTTTTTGTAGTCGGCAAAATGCTGGATTACGTACTTGTTAAACACTCCAAAGCTGGAAGAATGTTTGCCTCAACTGATAAATGATGTTGGACTGAATTAATTTTTTTGTAATTCTCACTGCAATCTTGAACAGGCTAGGATCATTTTTAATCGAAGGTATGAAGACCAAGATGGTGTGGCCTTTTGCGGGTCGCAGTCTCTTTTCGTTGTATAGAAGTTGTTTGACCTTGTTTTTGCAAGATGGACATATTAGTAGGAAGACTTAGAGTAACGCAACTTGTCCGGAGTCCATTGTATGCATAATCATTTCCAAATTCGGACCGTAGACCTGGTACATTCCCAGACGTTTCGCCGGCATCATAGTCGGCCGCTCAAAAGGGCACACTGTACCACATTTAATTAAGCAAGTAAAAAATGGTGACAGTGAAGGCGTGATAGGAGGAGATAGGAAATGTGAATAGGCCAGGGCAGAAGGGGAGATACCATAACTGTTTAGCACACGTTTGGTCTGAGGATCGGCTTCACTTGTCTCTGACGATTTGTAATATGGTGCTACGAATGACAAAACTCACTGATTATGCCGGCGAAACGTCTTGGAATGTACTACCTCCACGGTCTGACTTTGGAAATGATTATGCATACAATGGACTCCGGACAAGGTGCATTCCTACCAATATGACCAAGTTGCAAAAACAAGGTCAAACAACTTTTAAAATCATTTTTATTAACAAAGGGAGCTTGCGAACAAATTATCACAACTACCATGGCAGAGGACGCAGGACTACATGCGTTCCACAACATCTTCTCCGACCAATTTGCGGAAGCACAGTCTTTCCTTATTAGCTTCATAGCATCAGTAGGTTATTTGCCACTAATTTATGGCTGAATAAGCATTTATCAAGCACCTTAGTCTGTTACAATGCTTTTGTAGTAATTGCTTACTCTGAATATTTAGAACGTAGGGCGGCTAAATTTCAAAAGTACTAATGGAAAAGACTATGAATAATTTTAAATAATATTTTATGATATCCAATAAATCATTTAGTGTCAATTTTGACCTCATGCTCATATGTAGCTGACAAAGAAAATGGCAAATGCCTCACATATATCTGGATGTGAGTATTTATGCATTAAGAGGTTCATACACTATGATTCTTAAAGATTTACTCTGATTTGTGCTACTTCCACAATCCTAGTCTGCAAGCTAGATATTAGGGCTGCTTA